CGCCCCGCCGCCCGAACGTCAAGAGGCGAGGAACGCGATTCGAAGACATAACAGCTCAATCCGCAATGACACCCCCCCGAGAACACACAAGGGTCGCAAACTGCCACCAAAACCAAGACAAAAAAGCCGAAGAAACCTGTCGAGCAAACAGATGTTTTGCAGGATGTCAAAGAACTAACATGTATTATTTACAAAAATTTAGACAGATCTGAAGTAGATGATTTTATGGAAAATTTTCTCTTTCGACAAATACAAGACGAAAATGGTCAAGCCATCAAAGTTAAAACTACAAAACCACTTGCCGATAATGCCGTACATATCTTACCGAAAGGAACAATACTCGATTTATTCATTCGACAACAATTAACCGAACGTGGGAATATTACATTCAAACGTACTCGGACAAAATTTCGTCTAGTTGAACCAGTTAGTCTAACCGATGAATTCGACTCATGGACATTTGACAATTTCCAACAAATCTTCGATTTTTGGTTAACTGTTGATCCCCACAATAATCAACAAAAAACATTCCCTACTCGTTGGAAACTAGATCCACGTGCTGTGATTAATTATATCATTGGTACTGTTAGTGATGAAACAGGCACACGAATTCAACGTCCTAGTACAAAATCATTAGAAAATTTCATTCGTGATGTTTGCACGATTGAAGATAATGGAATGGCAGAGGAATGGTTTGAAGCATTAACTACCGATGAAGATATTCTTACTTATGCACATTTAAGTAATTTAACAATGCCAGAATGGGAAAAAATTCGAAAGTTACCAATGAATGCTTTGAAAACAATTAAATTCTATATCGATCAAGAAAAAAATCTTACTGCTGCTCGGAAAGTTTCAACAATCAAAGAAAAAAAGAAAGGTAAAAACATTCGATTGCAATTCTTCTTTTACTGAATTGTTATTCTTTTTATAGATAATCAATTAACTTATTCGGAATTATTAGCTAAACTTCATATGATCAAACTTTTTCTCATTCATCAATTGAATGGTGAAAATGGTATTGAAGAAATTCCTCATCTTGAAGGTAAATGTGTTGAACAAGCGTTTATTGAGATGCATACAGAAGGTTATGAAGACGATGGACTTTTTGATGATATGAAACTCTTCTTTCAACCATTAACAATCACTGATGAAGAATTAAAAATTAATCAAAATGAACTTATAAACGCGAATAAACAAGAACAAAATGAAATAAAAAAATTAGAACAAGAAATCCAAGACTTGAATGAAAAATACAATCAAGTCAATCAACAACTGCAAGATCTCGTTCAAAAAATGATGAAAAAAAAAGCTGAAAGAGATGAATTATTTGAAAGACATGAAACAGCAATGAAAGAAAACATGTCATATCAAGAACGAACACGAAGAAATTTAGAATGGTGTCGAAAAACATCTGAGATGAAAAAGGAAATTGATACATTTAAAAAACAAATAACAGAAAAAGAAAATGAATTAAAAGATATTGAAACACCACAGATGGAAAAAGACAATCGACGGGATACAATCAAAGCACTTCTCGCCAAACAACAAACAAAAATTGATAGAAGTTTAATTCAACTACATCGAGGGTTTATTATGTATGGACCACCAGGTAAATCACTTATAATTTCTATTGCATGAATGAGTCTTTTTTTCGCTGGTTTTAGGTACTGGTAAATCCCATTTAATGAGTAAATTATCCAGTAAAATCGGTATTGCAATGTTAGCTCCACCATTAGCATCGGGTAATCTTGAACGTTCATTAGTTGGTCAATCTGAGGCAGTCATATCAAGTCTTTGTCGACGTGCAAAACGCCTCCCACATTTAATTTGTTGTTTATCAATTGATGAAATTGATTCATTAGCACCGCGACGTGATGAAAAATCTTCCGAAGGAAAAGTCTCAAAAATTAGTGTACTTTTGAGTGTACTTGAAGGGGCTGAAAATGTTCCGAATTTAATGTTTTTTTCTGCTACGAATTTATTACATCGAATGGATGAAGCTTTCTTACGGAGAATGTCTGGCAAATTTTTCGTTGGTAGACCATCATCTGAATCAAGAAAAAAATTACTAGGTAAACTACCTAAAACCATGTTCAAACCTATGGTATTGGAAAAATTAGCCACAGCAACCACGAATTTTAGTGGTTCTGCTCTAACGTAAGTCTGATTAAAAACTACAATGTACTAATTGAACTTGGATATTGCAGGAGATTGAATAGTGAAATTACTACACATCATCGTTGTCAACGTCGAGATAATCCGAATTATGAAGTGACTGAAGAAGATGCACTTATCTTAGCAGATCGAACAGCTCGTCATTACCAGTTATATCTTGGTCTTGATACCTTACCAAGATTACAATTGCGTAATTTATACGATCGAAAGAAATTGTCACAAGTACGCGGTCAATCGAACAAGGAAGATAATGATTCGGAAGCATTTCATCTACCAAAAAAATGTACATTTACTGGTAAAATTGTTATTAGTCTTAGTGAACGTCAAGTACGAATTGAATGTATTGATGAATTCAATCAACGATATATTATCGAAGATAAATTTCGAGAAACTGAACAAAATCTTCAACAACTTCTCGAACGCATCACTGCTTATGGAACTGATCGAAATGTCCAATTATTACAATTAATTGATTTAAATCTCCTCTCATCGAAAGGTGCATATGATGAACAAAAAGTATCCGAAATCTTAAAAGAATGTTATGATGAATGTACTGCTTATAAACGTTCAATGATTGTCTATGATCTTGATTCATTAATTGGTGTAAATAAATCTGAAAGTGATTCTTCCATGGGTACATCAGTTAGTTCATCGATTATCAATCAACATATCTATGTTTATGTTACTAATCGATTTCAAGAAGCCAAAATTGAAAATTCAAATCCCGATGTAAAAGCAAGAACTGAACGATGGGCTGTAGCTATTGTAAGAGATATGTTTCTTCTGAAGAAATTTACAAGTGAAGTAGATTTTACACCAACTGATGCACAACAAGATAAAGAAGAAGAAGATGAACGAAAATCAACTCAAGTTATTGCCTGTGTTAAATGTGGGGAAAGTTATATTGAAAACGAAAACAAATTAGGTATTTGTACACATCATGATGGATTTGTTTATGATAATGCTAGAGAAGACTTAAAAAAATATCGATTAAGTGAAGCGATTGAATTATTAAATCTAGAAGAATATAAAGCTATGAATGCAAATCAAAAGGAGAAAGAGGAGTTTGAACGAAAGAAAACACGAATGAAATTTATTTGTTGTGGTGCTGTTGTTCAAACTGGTGGAAATAATGGTGGATGTAAAAAACTTAAGCATGGTTTTGATCATCCAAACCAACGAAGAACAAATCGACATGCTTTACTGGAAGAAGATATTAAACTATGGGAAGATGCATGTTTTGAAAACATTTTCTATAATGATCAACGAGTCAAATTAATTGAAAAAAGACAACTAAACCAATAATCACATTTTTATCCGCAACGAAAACACATACACTGCTAGATAGAATTCGAACAGCAATTTTCATAGGTGAAAGGATGAAATATTGTCTGATACTTATTCTTGGTTTTATTTCATATTATTTGAATAGATTTGAAACGTTCATCTATTCATTTTTTTAGACACATTTTCGTTCTATTATAGATGGATATAATAGGGTGTGGGTGTGGGTGTGGCGTGTGGGTGTGTGCATGACCGTCTCATTAATTAGTGTAACACGAGCACCCATATCCACACATACACCTCACACCCACGCTCCACAACCACACGCACCCACACCCACACCCTTAAATTGTTTAATTTGTTGCCATATAGAACGCTAGACAGAACTAAGGTGTCTTCTATCGAATGTGCTAAAGTTTGTTAGTTTTACAATGAATCTTAAGAGTACTATGAAGGTTTTACTGAATTCTCATATTCGAAAAAACGTCTTCCTTTCTTAGTGACTATGCCGATATTGATATCACTCACTTATCGATATGTTCATGTGGTCTTTCATTTCTGTCCTTTCGTTCTCATCATCCTCTATTGCTCTGTCAAATGCTCAATGCTCTATATCTTCCTCTCTCCTACATAAGAGTGTGTCGTGTATGAGATACATACACCATGGAGATATGAGATGTAGCTTAGTAAACATATATACCACAGGTGGCTATAAGCTACTCCTCCTGTTTGTTGTTATAGTAAATGAATTTGATTGCTATATGAGTGCATATAAGATATCTGTAGAAAGATAAACTAAAATAATTCTTACACGCTTCTACTAGTATATCCATTTATTTGGTACATCTTTATTGGCATTTTATTAAAAGCTCTTCATTAGTCTTTTAAATGGCACTATCTGAAAGAATAAATCTTTAATTTTGTTTTATATAGTTTTTATTCTTTATCTGACTTAATTTCATCTACATGTCCTTTTTTAATTCAAAATTCACTGCATCCCATGTGAATGCCAAACGCAGGCTTCGTGCGTTTAAACGCGTCTACAGATGCATTTATATGCGTTTGCAGTCAAAAATATGAAGAAAGAGCGTTCAGTCGCGTTTCACAGATGCATCTGGACGCGATTGAATTTATAGCCTCGTTCAGATGCATGTGAAACATAAAACGCGTTTGCCATTTTAAGCGTTTAAAACGCATTTGAAACCGTTTTCATCAATAGTTGCAATTGGATGCATTTTGAACAGAAACGCGTGTGATAGTTTTGTCGTTTAAAACGCAGTTGTAGACGTTTCGATGAATTGATGCATCTAGACGCATCTCCGATTTATGAACTTAACTGTTTCTACGTTATTTTCAAGTGATCACAATCATTTTCAACAAAAATAAGTGTTTTCATTGAATTTATGTATATTGCTTAATCTGAGTAATGAGTACTTGTAATATAGAAAAATTTATCTGAGTAAAAAATAAGTGACTTTTTATATCTTTCACTGCAAATAATAGCTGGTGGAAGAGAAAACGTTTGATTTTGTTTGAATCCGAAATAGAAGAAAATAAAAAGTCCACTGTCCCATTTTGTCGTATAATTTATCTTTTGTTGATACACCAGTAATAGGTCATATAATTACATAGAATTTAACCATAAAAGTTTTTTTCTCTTTTTTCTCAACCAGCACATTATTTTTCTTCAATGAACATTTGAAAATATAGAATTACATAATGCTCAGTAATACCTAGAATACTTTCGAAATTGAAAGTTGAGTAGTTACTTAAGGAGCCATAATAATTAACACTAGCAGCCACATGATACAAACTGTGAACAGATTGAGAATTATGTCGTGGTGTATAGAGAGTCGGAAATAATTGTAAAAATCGATTGAGTAACAGACGAATATCTTCTACTTGAGTACGTTGAATATGACGAGATTCAGCAATATGCATTGCCACAACAAGCAGAAAAAAATGTCTTGCATATTTAAGTGGTAAGGCAGCACCAAAAGCAGAAAAGCCAAATAATAGAATATTTCGAGTTTCATTAGCTTTGTACCGACGATATTTTGAAAGTGAACGTGGTATACGAAGAGTTGTTGATGAATACTTAATTGACGAAAGATAACGATCAACTACTTTCAGCTTATCACAAATATTCCATGGTTGTTTTCGATACTTTTTATCGAACCAAAGACGAAGTAGACGTTTCTAAAGAAAATAAATGCATGCATATTAATAAGAATATTTCAACTGTGCAGCCAATAAATAGGAACAGAAGAGGAAATAAGTGTTTTTTATCTTGAATAGTACTCTATAAAACAACTAAACTTTTTGATATAAACAATTTTTTTACTTTTATTATCTATTTTACAATATCTGAAGAGAGAATTACGATCAATCATACTTTTTAAAAATGTTCAATCTGTGAAAAAAAAACTGAAATGAACGAAAAGGCTTTGATGAAGATAATCATTATTAAAATGTTTATAATTATGTGCTCAAAATAACAAATCTCATAAAGAGAGCACCATTCCAATCTTCATGAAAATTTTATAAATAGTCATTCAAAAATACTATTATCATTTCAATAACGTATTCATTAATTATGATCTTTATTAATTTCTCAAGCTAAACACGATACATGAAATGGATTGGAGAGATTCATTATAAGATTTACCCAAAAAAGAAACAATTCTCAATGTTTTTATCTATCTCATGAAAAAGCAGTGTAAACATTTCTTACCATTACACCATGATATACATTATGCAATGAATCTGATAAAAAACTAGTACCAACATCAAAGTAGGTAAGATCACGAAGCACACATGGACTTATTTGACCTGCTAATCGATCACGAAGTTGAGTAATATTCCATAGATGATGTTTTTTGTAAAAAATTTTCATAGATAAATCATAAGTTTCATTTGTACGTAAACGAGGTTGCTGTTGATCTTCAGGATCAAGTGGAAAAACACGAATTTTCTTTTGTGAATTAGGTTTGATGGGTACTGTCACTCCTAAACAAGAAAAAAATTATTCATAAAAGATTATTGTAAATGATTTTAGACAGTCATACCCTGCAGCTCACACCGCCCGCAGCCGAAAGCACCTATTGGTTCACTAATACCTTGAACTAGACTTTGCGCTGGCTTATCGCAACACGATCCAATTAAAAAAGTCTTCAGGTGCATATTGGAGCTTGTACTTAAACCTTGTACTTCAAAAGTTTCACCTTTTTCTAATATAAGAAGTTCATTAACAATTGGTGAAAGCAGTTTTTGCATTTGATCACGATTAGGTTTGAATGTTGTTGATACTATACCACCTATAATAACGTTTTTTAGTTTAAAACGTTCACTTCTTTTAATTTCATTGATAACGAATGTAAAAATCCATAGAGATGAACTTGAACTTTTTGACACTTCAATACCATCAACGTTCATTATGAGAGTTAAAAATTCTTTTCCTTTTTCTTTTTTAATTATATCTTGATATTTCTCTCCATCATAAATATCATCGATTATACCAATATTCGAAGAAGATCTTTGTTGTTGTTCAAAATTTAACTCTTGTGTATGAGATAGAATATCCCGTAGTTGTGGGATCATGGGTAACTGTAAATACTGTAATGGAGATAAACGAAAACTTGAATGTTGGCTACAGTTTGTATTGATGCAATGATGAGTTGATGGTGATGATTCACAACACACTGGACAAATATAAGTAATTAATGACGTCGGCGACGAAAAAGATTTTGGTATAAACAAACGTTTCACTCTGGAAAAATTGGCAGGTATGTTTGACACTTTGAAAATCTTAAACAGTTTGCAAAGATCATTAATGAATTTTATTGACGCTCGGTGACGAGTCTAAAATATGAAAGAAAATAATGTTTATAGTGTTGAATACGTTGCAATGAATAATTCAAATGGTATTATATAAAAATTCCATGAAATCAATATATATTATCCCAGTTCATAGACCAATGTAAATATCGACTTATATCTCCATCAACGAAGTGTCGTCTTGAGAAGACTCACGAATTCGCAATCTTTTAGATTATAATCTAAATTTTATAAACTAATTTCTTAATATACACGACATAAAAAACTGATGAAAACATAATGAATATAAACAACTTCCCAAGTGATCAAGCTTAGCCATAAATCTTTTTGTTTGAAATAGGAGTTTAGCATTTTTTGTTTCTTAAAGATTAAGTGAATCGCTAATAGAACAAGAGATAACATTTTCCCCTTTGATTGGAGAGTTTGTTTCTTTTTTGCTGTTACTAAGAATATGCATCTTCAATCAATAGTTCCCTTTTGCTTGAAGCAAGAACTTGAAGTTTTATTTTAATAGTCTCTCATGTAAGTAGAAATCTGCAAATGCAAAATAAAAGTTAACATTATATTTCACATACTTCTTGTAATCTATCATTTCCATAATGACTTAAATGATAAGCTTCATAGTCTTTACAAATATAAATTTTATTCACTTTGTTTTTCTATAAATTCAACTTTACCTTCATTATAATAAGAGCAGCAGCAACTTCTTTTTCTGTAGGCATCCTATTGAGTAATAAACTTAACTTAATATAATTCAGAAGAACACATCTGACTAAGACTTACTGGTTGGTACCAATGAATAAAGACTCATTATCCATAATAGAATATTGAAATAGAGGTTCAAATTCTGCATTTTTCCATGATTCAGCAATATTGCCAGCATTTTCATCAAGCCACATTTGGTCGTCGTTCAAGTCTGGTACTGATACATCTACTAATTTATTCTCGTTTGTTGAGACATTAGAATGATAATTGTACATAGATAAGTGAGATGGATTTTCGAGATCATCTGGAGGCTGCGCCTGACTGAGAAAAGTTTCTTCGATGATATTGTTGTTTGATAGATCTGAGAATGTTGAATGAAGACAGCTAAAGTATAGAGAACATATTTTATAATTAAATGAATAATATAAATATATACTCTTCATCGAATATTGAACTAGTACTTGATATTAATTGACTGTATAGCTATTTTAGTCGTTTCTTGTGGCGCCATAATGTAGTCCTAGAGACCATCTAAATTAATAGATAGTTTAAATATTGATCTTTATTCTTCATCTGGATCTAACTCTAGTTTATTATTATCTATATATGTAATAAACAGACACAGTAAAATAAAACAACATCAACATATTCTATTGTTGTTCAATGTCCGACTGGTCTTCTTGAGCATCAATATTTTCATTATCAGTTGTAATATTATTTGATTGAGAATGTTGATCTTTATATATCATTTGTTTTGAATGTTTTTGTCCCTTGTTCATAGGATTGTTCTTTTTGTTGGATTTGCTCTTATAAGCAGAATTCATTGATTCATTTTCTTCTTGTTTTGTTTTAACTTCATGTTTTTTTGAGCGGAATACACCATTAATAGCTTCGTTAAATTTATGAGTTAATATTGGACCTCGTTGTAATTCAGCAAATGCTATTCAAAAATAAAACTAAAACAATCATCTAGTATTTTCAAAGAAAAAATTTTATTACCTCGAATTGCACTACGTTGATCAGCTGGTACATCCGAACCAGTCATAGTCAATAACTTTTCTGGTGGATATAAATGTCGAATTATCTGACGAGCAGTATTAGAAGTTGTATCTTCTATGCAACTAATAAGATCTTGTGCACTCATGCCCAGGGTTCTCGCATGTTTTGCAATATTTATATTAGAAACCTTACTGGTTAAATATTGAGCAGTATTGATGAACCATTGACGCCCAGCAGCATCTGGCATGGCTAAATTTTAAAAAAGATTCAATTCTTATGTCATTTAGAAAATCATTCTCATTATTGACAAACATAAAATATACTCTTTATACTTCTTATAAACCGACTCTGTCTCTTTTATTAAAGTTTTTTACTTTATAGAATATTCCAAAGGATATTTTTTCCTCCATCAGTTGAACATAAATTATAAGGAAACATATAAAATAAGGATTTGTTCATTTGCTCTCTTCACGGCTCTAAGCGCAGCCTTTTATTAATCTTTCCGTCTTCATAAAACGTTTATGATTATTGTTTTTATTATCATTGATCGAGTTTTATTTATATCTCAGAAGACATAAATAAACGGCTTCACTCAAGAGAAATTCATTTTAGTGGTTACTTAATAAACTCAATCATAAATATCCATTGATAAATCATGAGATATTTTCTTAAAATCTTCACATTGTTAATGTTTAGTCTTTGTATGTTATAAATAGAGGACATACAATACACTTACGCATTGTTGTTGTTTTTAAAATTTGATTTTCTTCTGTTAAACGATCACATTCGAGTTGTAATGCAATATTTTCATTGGATAAATTTTTGCATTTGATCGACAATGCTTGATATTTACGTAATAATTCGGTGTTACTCATTTCCTGTAATTGTTCCTCTAACTCTATGTAACAAACATATGATGAAAGATTATATTTATATACTCGTTGATTGTACTCACCTGAGTTGCCCAAATCAACAACTGTTGTATCATTATGAACAATGTTTTCATTGTTTCGAGATGATGGATTGATAATTATCTTATTAGTAGAAACCTTTGAAAGACCATCTTGACGATCAATATGCGATCATATCAGAAGAAAATCAAACGTTAGCTAAATTCAAATAAAATACATTTACCTTTTCGAGAAACAACAGGTAGTAATTTTTTGCCTTTCGTTGATGAAGAACTACTCGGAAAAAATTCCTTTTGAGACATGATAGGCTGTTCAGAATCTTTTGATACAACACAAGGTGATTCATCTTCATTTTCACTTGCTTCATCAACTAATAAGCAAAGTTATTTAACAAAGTTATATTAATTTAAATGTCACTTTCTTTACTCTCATCATCAAATTGTAAACGTTTTGCTTTCATGTCTTTCTTTTGTGTTGGAATATTTGTCGGTTTATTTGTGGAACGAACGATTGAATTAGTATTTGAACCTTTACTCATAAGTTCACGTGCACCAACTGACATTGTCGATTGCTTTTCTAAACATAAAAAGACATTTCTTATTCATATCATTAAAATAGATGAGAATGAAGATCTATGTTTGTTTTTATATTTAATCAAAAAAGATTATAGAATGTAAACTTAAAAAAAGACAATTCATTATTGTTTTCCATATAGAATATCATCAAGTTATAGAAAAACTAATTCTTTTTTCTTTTCTTCAGGAACTTCTAAGTTTTATAGTTGAAGTTTCTCATTAAAAGCTTGCACATCAGTAGCTGCTAATTTTCACAGAAAAAAAAGAATTCATTTTTCTTTTACTATTTGATCAAATTTTCTTTCGATGAATATTTTTTTCCTATGAATCTACAAGCTTTATAATTATATATAAACTATTTTTTCAAAAGACATCTTTATTGCTGAACAAGAGATGCTTTTATTTATATGTGCCCTATCACATTGTTTCAGTTGGCGTAAATGTTTCCGTAGCATAATTCAAATACTTACTAGGATTCTTTTTTTGTTGTTCATGTTCTTCTTGCTCATTCATTTCATGATTCTCAATATCAATTGTATTATTTGTATCAACATCAGCAATCATTTCAAACACTTGAAGCTGTTCCGTACATGCTTCCTTGCTTCCTAAAAAGCAAAATTTTTATTGAGATGTGTATGTGCTGGCTACTCACCCAATTGAATGATTCTTCCTCGTTCTTGTTTACGATTATTAAGATCACACTTGAATGTTGTTGTATTATTCACTTTGAGGCCCGTTACTGAACTATTAACAGCATGTGCTACTGGTAACAACATCAATTTGTTATCATGTTCACGTTGAATAATCATATGTGCTGGCGGAATCTTTTTTTCACCGGCTCGGCATGATGATGCCATCGACGTGACACTTCCTTTGGAATCGTGTCGTTTCATGATCTAAAAGTTTCAGTCAGTTTTAAATCTAAATTTATTTATATACATTCAAGTGAATAGAAAGCAATCGCATAAATAAATAAAAAGAAAATTCAATCTTTATTTTTGTTGTGCAAACCGTTAATGTATTTTCTGATTGGTGATAAACAAACATGTCGACGTTTTAGAATAAAAAAAATAAAAACTGCCATGTGATCACGTTAAAAAGTATTATCAATTATTTTGATGAATATTTTTGAAACACTAACGAATTTTTCGATATTTAAAAATTTAATGTATATTGTGATGCTGACTGAATTGTTTCAACAATAAAAAATTATCACATCATAAAATCAGTATTAGATGATAGATTTTCTTCATTTATTATTTTATATGAAAAATATTGTGTACATACAATTTTCTAAAAGCTTGGCAGTACATAGTTTCAGTCCTAAATTTCATTTGATATTTTGATCAATCAGAAAAATTTTATTTTATTTGATATTAGACTTAATTAAAAACACAGGGATAAAATTTTAAATTTTCAAGCAAATTGAATACAAAAAAAATCAAGTTTATTTAATATAAGAAAATAAGAAATTATCGATTTTTTTATTTTAATATAATAGATATATCCCCCTGGACAAAAATAGTTAGACTCGGTATTTCGAATATATTTCCACTATAAGACCACACTTTTTTAAAATTAATTACATATTCTGAAAGCACGTGGAGTTTTCTATCACTCTGTATAATTAGGTTTTAGTTTCGATCTATTCATTATCAAAATAAATTGAGAACAATGAAAGCCCCCTCATGTTCAGATTCCCATAAACTTGATTTGTCACTGTCGTCAAAATTAGTTTTTTAAATTTTTTATCACTATAGTACCATCTTTTGAGAAAAGTAATTATGTATTCTGATAGAGCTTGAAATTCTCTATCATCCTGTATATTTATTTATTTTNGCACTGGATACACTTCTTACATTTATGTCAGCCAATCCATTAGTTAAAGTCGTTGGCTTAGCAGCAGCGAAAGGTCTAGTAAGTTTATGGAAGGGTAAACTAAATACAAAAAGAAGTCAACTTCAACAAAATCAACAATATCATCAAAAGAAAGTTCAAGAACATACCAATGCTAAACAAAAACTAGTACAAGCACGACAAACGCTTGAACAAGAAAAATCCAATCTTACAAAACGACAGCAAGAACTCACGCAACAAAAACAACAAGTCCAAACTGCTTCAACTAGACTTAATGAACAGAAAAATTTTGTTACCAATCTCACTAGTAAATATTCTCAAATTCAAAATCAAACACAAAATTTGAAAACTCAACTTAATAATCAAACCAAACAAGTCGAACAACAGCAAGCGAATATCAATACTCAAAATATTCGCTTAACTACTCTAAAGAATCAATTAAATCAAGTTCAAAATAAAAAAGATCAAGTCGCTCAACGATGCGCTCAACTCTTCAATGATGTTGGCCAACTAAATGAACAACATCAAGCACAAACACAAAATCTTAATAATTACAATCAAAAACTTGAAGCCAATCAACAGAAACAAGATGCCTTGACATCACAAATCGAACAAAAACAAAAAAAAATTCAAAATCTTGAACAACAAACTGCAGCCAAAGCGAATGAAGAAGCGACATTACGAGGTAAAATAACCAATGCAGAAGAAAATATTCGAATGTTAAATAAATCTGTGTCCGAACTTGAAAATGATAAACGTATTCAACAAAAATTATTGAGAGATACTCAACAGCAAAAGATTACATTAGAGAATGAATCCAGTCGACTTGATCATGATATTAAAAAACTGATTCAAGATTCTGAAAGACTTGAAAATGATCAGAGACGATTGGAACGAGAATTAAAAAACCATACAAAACAAATTCTAGACAGAACTAAACAACAACAAAATCTCAAATTCGAATTACAACAAAAACAAGACAATCTATCTCATCAAAAGCAGGAAAAAAACAATATGGAACAACAAAAAGATCAGTTAATCACTACTCTTGAAAGAAATAAATCCGAACAAAAAAATATCAAAAAAAAAGTCGCCGAATTGAATCGAGAAGTGATCAACCATGAACGAGCTAAACAAGTTACCGAGCAAAAAGTGAATGATGCTCGTAATAAATTAAGAAATATTATTCAAGAACTTGATCGATTAAACAAAAGCGAAACTGATCTTAAAAACCAATCGAATACTCTTCGAGATAAGCAAGATACTCTAATACGAGAACATGATTCCATTGATGACAAGAAAAGACATATTGATCGAAATTTATCTCTTGCAAAAAATAAAAAAATAGATAATGAAAGGGAAGTTACAAGTCTCAGTGGAAAAATGGCAAGCAAAGAGAATTTAGTGCGAACACTTCGAAGAGTAGTCGATGGAAATAAAAGTAGTAAGGAAAAACGAAGCGATATGATAACGAGTACGGACAGCAATACCGATGATGTCGAAAACTTTGATAAAAGACGTCATAAACAATATCTTGTATGTACAGTCTCTTATCACAAATTCTTGAAAAAATCTCTTCTATCTTTTTTAGTACAACAGCTGACTTATCAGACATCACTTCACTTAACATTTTTTTTTCTAAATCTAATAATCAATAAATTTTTTTTCTATTTATTCTAGATTAATCATGACGAACAAAGTATCAATCTATGATTATCTAGCGACTGACACAGATAACGATGGTGGAGTGATCGATTTCGATAATGACAGTATCGAAAATATTCGTGATGAATATGCGCGGATGACAGACGAAGAAAAACCTACTAATGTTTTGTTGAAACAACTGGCGCAAAAATTAAAGATTAATGACGATGAAAAGAATCTTAAACTTCTTCGTTTATGTATTGCTGAAGAAACTATAGAAAATGCAAAAATTGAAATTCGTCAACAGTATTATAAGGAAGAAGATAGGCACTCATCATCGAAAAAACATTCTTCCTCATCAACCAAGGAAAATCCTACTCCTGCTTCTAGTAAATTAGTATCTATTGACGAAATCAATTGTCTCATACAGATGAAAATCAATCATGAGGAACTTAAGAAATTTTTCCAAAATTTTCTTCTTCGTTCACTTGATCAGCCAGTTTCATCGAAGACTAGATCGACAATAAACTTAGAAAATAATATTATTCATCCATTGAATCACCGATGTATTCTCGATCTATTCATTCGCAAACAAATGGCTGAACGAGGAATGATTGATTTCGGACGCGAACGTCCAAAATTTCGTCTAGTAGAACCGATTACTCTCAACGATGAATTCGATACCTGGTATTTCGATCATTTTCATTCCTTATTCGATCTCTTTCTCACTCGTCCCAACAATGAATCATTTCCTATCCGTTGGGAATTGATTGAACAATCGAAAATCACTTATCAAATTATTTCCGTCTATTCAACCAATGATAGTGATCGAAAACCGATTCAAAGACCGAGTACCAAATCTTTGGAAAAATTTATTGAAGATATCTGTCAAATTGAAGATAATGGCATGGCATCGAATTGGATTGAATTATTACGCAAAGAAGATATCATCACTTATGCTCACTTGACTAATTTAAATCAAAAAGAATGGGATAATATCAACAAATTGAGTATGAATGCTTTGAAAACAATCAAAACTTATGTTGATCGAGAAAAACAAACTGCTGAAGATCAAACTAAAACCAATAAACGAAAAAGTAATTTCTCTTCTTCTAATTCCCTTTTATAGAGAATAATATTTTTAGATGAATCCGAATCCGAAATCCTAGCGAAAATTCATATGATCAAACTATATTTCAGCCATGCATTACAGAACGAAGAAGGAATCGTTCGATTATCGAAATTAGATGCTAGATGTGTAACTAAAGCTTTCGAAGAAATGCGTCAAGATTATGAAGATGATGGTTTATTCGATGAAATGATCCAATTTTTTCTACCATTAACTGTAACCGATCATGAATTAGTCTTAGATGCTAATGAAATTCATCTTAATACCGAAGAAAAACGTCGAACTCAAAATCAGTATGAAAGGGAAATTCAAACTCTAATCCGAGAAAATGGAAGTATTGTTGAAGATATTGAAAGCCGAAAGACGATTCTTGGTCAAATTAAAGAAGAACGACAGAGACTATTTGAAGAACTAGAAAGCGATCTGAAAGAAATTAAAATGACAAGATTAACTAGTTATGCAAGAGAAAAGAATGACTTAGAAAAAAAATGGTCAAGAAAAGATACTATTCAAAGTGATCGAAGTAAGGAAATCAAAAAGAAAATTGAACAAATGGAAATTCTTCACAAAGCAAACGAAGCATTAATTAAAGACAAAAGAAACTTATTGAATACAATTATCGATGATTTGAATAATCAGCAGACACATATTGATAATAAACTGGTCAAACCACATCGAGGATTTATTATGTATGGACCACCGGGTAACAATATTTGGTCGTGATTTTCATTCTCTTCTTATTTTGAACTCTTTTAGGAACTGGAAAGTCACATATCATGAGTCAATTAGCGAAAAAAATTGGTATCGCTATGTTAGGGCCGCCATTAGCAGCCGGAGAATTAGAACGACCATTGGTGGGTCAATCCGAAGCGGTGATTTTGGATTTATGTTCTCGGGGGAATCGTTTGCCTTATCTAATGTGCTGTGTTTCCATCGATGAAATTGATTCACTTGCACCACGTCGTGATGAAGATTCTTCTGAAGGTAAAGTTGCCAAAATCAGTGTTCTATTATCGGTCCTTGAAGGAATTAAAGATGTTCCAAATCTGATGTTTTTCTCGGCAACCAATCGGCTTCATATGATGGATGAAGCTTTTCTCCGAAGAATGTCCGGAAAATTTTTCGTTGGAAGACCTTCCTCTGAAGCACGTAGACGTATTCTCAATGCTATACCAAGAAATATGGTCGATCCATCCTTACGAGAAAAACTAGCTTCAGCGACGACTAATTTCAGCGGAGCAGCACTCAGGTATACTTGCAAATCGTTGGATTGACTGAGCAGAGTTTTATTGCGATTTTAGTGCATTAAATCGATCAATAGCTGTCCATTTCATTGCTCAACGTCGAACGAATAAGATTTATAAAATCGAATATGAGGAAGCTCTTCTTCAAGCAGATCGCACCGCTCGGCAATATCAAATCTTTCTTGGTTTAGATACACTTCCTCGTTTACTCAAACGAAATTATGACAGTGCTAAACGATCAGGTACTTCTCAAAACTCGAATGATACATTTCATTTGAAAGATAACTGCCATTTTACTGGAAAAATCATCATCAGTCTTTCTAATCAATCAGCTCGAATTGAATATATTGATCTGAAGAGAAATAACAAAAAAGTCTATGAAGATAATTTAAATCGTAACGAAGAAAATGTCCAGCAATTACTAGAACGTATCACCAACTATGGTAATGATCGTAATGTTCAATTATTACAATTAATTGATCTGAATTTATTATCATCGAAAGGTGCTTATGATGAAAAGAAAATTTTCGAAACATTAAAAGAACGTTATGATGAATGTATGGAATATAAACGATCGATGATTATTTATGATCTGGATTCTTTAATTGGTGTTAATCAATCCGAATCACAATCATCAATGGGTACATCAACGAGTTCCTCAGTTGTTCATCAAGCGCTGTATATTTATGTCACCTCACGCTTTCGAGAAGCTGTCATTGAAACCAATAATAAATCCAATGTGGAAAAATGGTCGATTGCGGTAGTACGAGATTCATTCCTATTAAAAAAATTTTCCCAAGATGTAGAATTTCCTAAAACTGATCGAGAAGAAGAAGAATATAAAGAAGAACAACGAAAAGAAAAAGAGCTGATTAAATGCATCAAATGCCGGGATTTTTTTATTGAAAATGAGAATAAAATGGGAAATTGCACTTATCATGATGGATTTGTTTATGATAATTTATCATTAGAATTAACGAAATATACTCCATCAATGGCTTCGGAAATTTTAAATCGAGATGAATTCGAAATGATTCGTTATCCACAGAGAAAAGATGAAATCGATCGACGAAAAGGACGATTTAAATATATTTGTTGCGATTCCACGGTCCAATCAACAATTGGATCATCAGCTGGTGGCTGTAAGAAAGGTAAACACGCAATGGGAGTGTCATTGAATAAACAAAAACGAAGTCGAATGCTTACGAAAGATGATATTGATCAGTGGGAAAATTTTTGCATGGAAAATGACGAATACAATGAACGATGGAGTCAATTATTTACGAATCGTTCAAAAGGTGGTTTCAAATAAATTTATTCGATAGAATTGACATAGGGAATTTCGCTTCTTTATAAGTTTTCTGATTTTGTTATTTTGTCGACAGAAAGAAAAGTGGGAGTTGGACTGACATCTTGAGAGTGTGGATGGGTGTGAGTGTGGGTGTGGGTGTAGGTATGGGTGTGGGTGTGGATGTGGTTGTAGGTGTGGATATGGGTGTGAGTAGGTATGCCTTCTTCTAAACCCACACCCACGCCCACACCCGCGTCAGTGAGCTAACGTAAGCTGAAGATTTAAAATAATAACTCATATTTGCAGTTGTTCTGTGTGCTTCTTTTAGAATATCAATACATTATTAAATGAAGTTACGCCAAGAGAAGACCCAAAAATGTTATGTATAATATTATTTTAGTTCGATGAATTATGGTAATTTAGAGATGTGATATTATAAATGGTCTAGTACGTTTATAAAATAATACTGACAGTATAAAACTATTGTATTTCCTAAGTTGTAAGTAACAGCACATTGTTGAGTTAAGAGATATAAAAAAAATCATCACGGAAGCAATTTCTATGTATTGAAACTATTCTCCAATCAAACGTCTTATGTTTGAAATAGTCAAGCCCATTCTTTTACAGTGCAGCCGCTCAGCGGCATGGTTTGGACTAGTTGAGAGAGTAAAGGTGTTTGAGAACTGTTATATTAATACTTGTGACAAATATTATTAAATGTAGAACCCACTTTGTTTTTGCCTTGTTAAAAAAGAGTGTTTCATGAAACTGTAAAGAAATTCAGGCAGAAAATATGAGTAAGGTATTTACTTTTCAGGCAAAAAGTAATCAGACTGATCCTTAAATGAATCAGAATAGAAATAAAATTATTTGGAATGATTCGCCAATATCTCTATATTCTTTGTGTTTATTTATTTTTCAGTAAGTTGTCTGCACAACTCTTTTTTTTATCATCCTATGAATGTACCGAAGCAGAGTGCACAGGTTCTTTGAAACTCCCAAAGAAACATGAACGATTTGAACGAAATGTTTTCATAAATGTTTTCAGCTAAATGCTACTGTTGCTTGAATGGGACGCCATAAAACAGCATACATGATTAATGCCACATCGAATGAATCTCATCAGATCTTACAGAAAACCGATCGGAACCTGATTAGAGGAATTTTTGTTGGTCCCGACAGTCGAATATGATAGGAATTTTATCGGAATCCGACTCTAGGATCCGACTATCGATCCTCAACCCGGAATCCAATCGGATATTTGTCGGATGGTAGAATCCTACAAGATCTGATAAGATTCAATGTCGGATTGATTCACCTGGGTAATACTATTCTCTCTTTATGTTCGGCTATCCGTCACAAGTAAAGACGATAATGAATGCTGCATCAATTCCATGAATACTTCAAATTTATCAACCAGTGAACTTGTAGCTGCCATTGTTATACCAATTTTTATGTTTCTAATTATAATCATTGCTATTGTAATGTATCTGAGTCATAGACGAAAAAATTATTCCAAAAACGTATGGTTGTGTATTCATTCATTGGCGTCGACTACTGTTACTGCTGGCTATGAAAATAATGCAGTAAATCCACCATCATATAATGACGTGATGAGAATGAACGCTGACTAATCTGATGTTTGCTTTGCTCTATTTTTGTTGCTTAATTGTGCTGTTTGATATTCAGAGAGGAAGACAGAGATAGGACATATTTATTATAAAAACTATTCAAAGAATAATTTTTAATTGTTACTTGTGCTAAACTGAATTTGCCAGTAGAATTTTAGTTTGCATTTAGCTGGGAAAATATAAAATCAGACTAATGTTAATTGTTTAGATTTTAAACAAATATATCATAACATGCTACAATGCATTTAAACTTAAAATATCTATAGAGAATAGAAGAAGTAGCAAGATTGTCTTTAGTCTTATTCTTGCCTTTTTCCCACAATGGAAAAAAAGATTAAAAAAAGACTTATGAGTGAAATGAAATGACTCAACATAACTTAAATTTCAATGGTTCTGTTTCTTAGCCAATAAAATATGCTCTTATAGATGTCCGCTGTACGTATGAGTAACGATTTTCTAATTTTGATAGCCCTCTTGAGTCATGTTTCTTTTCTTGTTCTGTCAGTTTCACAGCGTAGTAAAAAATTTTTTCATCTTGGGCAAGCTTTGATAACGCGTTAGAGTTTCTTTCTCGGAGTGGGAAATACCCAGATGCAGCAGAGTATAAAGTCGGGCACCTCAATTCTTTAACTCAGTTACTTTTATTTCTTTTCACTGTTATAACACAGGAAGTCTTCTCTTCGATTCTCTTACATACACAACACAACATATTTCGAAATTATATTTAGTTGGAAAAAACCAAGTATAAATTGAATACTATTACTATGGCTTCAAACAAAAAATCAAATTATATCCGAAAAGAACGAATTCCAGTTTCATCTGCAATTCCTTCGGCTAAATTAGTTCTATCATCACTTCCTGGTCGTCCTGCACCAGCACAACGATCTGGTCAAAGCGAAAGTCTTTTAACAAATCATTTTACATGTGAATTTCAAAAAAATCTTCCACTATATCAATATGATGTAGCCATTGAAGAACTCGGCTCGCTTTCTGGTGAATGGTATGAAGTTAAAGGTCGTGCACGATGTGCTTTAACTATGCAATCGATTGTGTCTAATGGTGGATTTGCTCCGAATGTTATTGTATGGTATGATGAGCAAAAGTGTTTATATAGCACATCACAGTTATCATCACCAATATTAATTCATAGTCCGAATGGTCAAAGTCGACTGAATATCAAATCATTGGCTAA